TTACATTTATTTTACATTATCAGGAGAATGCAGAATGAATGAAGTGTAGCAGATGCTAATATTAGACCTGTAAACTGAAAAAAAGCCATTCCAAATGAATATATTGGATCCAGGTATGTCTTAAAGGAAGTATGGCCTCAGTGCAATAACAGGATACTTCTGATTGGTTTGCCAGACCCTTAAATACACAGAGATAAAACTGTTTTGCCTAGACCACACGGATGACATTTACATGTAATAAACTCCCAAGTGAAGCCTGGAAAACCTGAATTTATGATGTATGTTAAGTGGCTGACTCGTTCGTTTATATACTTGTCACTTCCTGATGTCATTCATCTAGCTCAAAGTACCGTCTGGATTGTTTCTTCTGACAAATAGTGCTGATGTGCTCCATTTCCTTTGTGGGCGGGGTGTTAGAATAGCACTACTCCTTATTTGCTGATGTTGGCTCTGATTGGTTGCAGAGAGCTCCGAGTGGGTTTCTGTCTGAAGTGCTACTCGCAGGGGAATGGAGGCAGTGAGCTGCATTCTTCTGCTCTTGTGATGGTTTTCATGCATCATAGTTCACAGGCTCTTAAGCACATGCGATAGTTTGAGTTTCAATAAATAACAGTTTCGTATTCTGCCTTGTCCTTGATTCTTATGCTATGCATAATTTTGACTTCACTTTATTCTTTGTGCCTTTCTTTCTCTTTTTTGCACACTGTCAACTAGAGATGTGAAGCACTGCATATTGTCAAAATCTACTAGTCACAACACAAAATAAAGCAATACCACAAAAAAATCTAGATAAATTACTCAGTCTAACTCATTAGTTAATCTGTTGCTAGAATAGTCAACCATTCAGTGTTGTTTTCATTAAGTGAAACTAATAATAAAAAACATTTACTTTAATTGAAATAAAATACAGTTTTAAAAAACGAACTTATTTATTTTATTTATTTGACAGTGCAACATTTCTAATTTGTTTAGTACAAGTTGTAGTAAAATTACTAAAACAAAAACTGAAATGACGATTTATCAAAACTAAATGGATAAAAACTAATAAAAATGACAGGCAAACAACTAAATTACTATAGCTAAGTAACATTGAAATCAAATGGAAAAGGAAATAAAAAAAAAGTAATAAAATTAATAAATACTATAATATTAAATGATAATAAAATAACACCGATTATATTTCATTCGTTTTTTTTTCTTTTGTTCAAACATTTCTTTCTTCTTTTGAAATCCTTCTTTCACGCATACGTCCTTATAAATTTTCCACTCACTGCTGATGAGGTATTGCTCTGCTTTGGCCATGGGAAAAAGCAGAGAGTTTGTGGCAGCGCACAGGTGTGCTTCTGTGCACCCAGAATTCCTCTCCTCTTCATGAAGCACAGCCCTCTTGGCCCTGTTCAAACAATACTTTTGCCTCAGCTGCTCTATTAGGAGAGCACACAAAGGCCTTTAGTGACTGGACAATGGGAGTTTATCGCCAGTCCTGGGTGCCATCTCACCCTGGTGCCACACTGTACTCATGTCATGTTGGCACTGTAAATAACACAGCGAGTCAATAAAGAACTTTATAGTACATGCACACACCACTGTACAAGCATCCAGTTAATTGTATTGTATACATCATTTTCTGGAAGCTGCTTTTGCTTTGGTCTGTGTTTTATTTTATGACTGTGCTGTTCTGAACATGATTGGATGCTGGAGATCATGGTGTGGGTGTTTAGGGAATGCTTAGGAGTGTAATAAAATGATTTGGAGAATTTGCTCATAAACACATTTAGTTTAGTGGACACCCTGCTGTGACCAGAGACTGATCTGCAGCAAAACACTTCTTAGCTTTCTGATTTAGCGTCCCTCAAATACAGAATGACACACTGGCACTCCAAAAGGATGTAACTCTGTTTTCTCAGTGGATAGCAGTTAACTCTGTGAGTTCTGTTATTTGTTTTTTTTTTCTCAAGCATAATCTTAATAAATGATCAGTTTTTTTTGTTTCTTTCTCTATAGCGGTGGCTGCAGACCCCACAGACAGTCCACTGTTCCTGCCCTACAAGGCCTTGCTTTCCACGATGAGGAGTATGGTGTTCACTGAAGGAGAGGCCGAGCAACTCATTGAGATTCTGTCTGATAAGGCTGGCATTATTCAAGACACATGGCACAAGGTAAGGCCAACTTCCTAAAGTCGTTTTTTTTGTGTTTCATATTTTTAAATGAGTGGTCTTTCACTTTCTATCACTTTATTTGAACTCAACCAGGAAGTTTGTCTAAATAGAGTTTCGTGCATGTTTATAGGCCACACAGAAGGGTGATCCGGTAGTTGTGCTGAAGAAACAGCTGGAAGAACGAGACAAGCAGCTGGCAGCCGAGCAGGAGGACTCAGCAGCTGTTAAAAGCAGACTGAGGGATTTGAGTAAAGTGAGGCTTGAAACACTCATGCCAGTTTAAAAAAGAGTCACATACAAATTAGGAAAAGTTTGATATGTGCACACACATCAAGCCTTATAAGTACTCTGTTATTATAGACTCTATTAGGTGAAAAGTCAATATTTTGCTTTGGTCTGATGGAGATAGTGGCAAGGTTTGAACCTACACTACCGTTCAGGGTTGGTAATGGCTGCCTAGTATTTTTGTGGAAGTCTTAGAAGTTCAAAAGAACATTTATTTGAAATATGTCTTTTGGAACATTATAAATCTTATAAATCACTTTTGATAAGTTTGATGAGTCCTAGCAGAATACAAGTAATCATTTATTTTAAGCAAAAAAATTAAAAATCACATCAACGCCACACTTTTGAATGGTAGTGTACAAATTATTTTTCCAGCTCTACATAACCCATCAACTAGAAGCCACAAGTATTGTGATGACCAGTTTTCACGCCAGATCATGACCAGTGTATGATTTGTTTGCGTATAGGAGCTCTCTGTGGAGAAGTCAAAGGTGGCGTCTGTAGAGACCAGGCTGAGCTCTCAGCTGAGTAAGCGAGAGCAGGACATTATTGCCCTGCAAGCACGTATGCAGGCCAGTTATCAAGACCACCTTGCGGAGACTCAGCAGCTTAATGCCAAAGTAAGAGCTCCGCACAGATTCTTTGCCGTACACCTGCATGGTAGCAAGACTCTAAAAAGTCACATGATTACAAGGATGTCTACCAAAATATTTATTTAGTAGGACAGAAAATTTAAATATTAATCGCATGGTAATTTGTACATTTAACATGATTAATCTCATATTATGAGCTGGATTTAGTGGGACCATAATGGAATATTTTTCTTCCAAAATATGCATTTATTTGTTATAGATTGTAACATAGATGGTGGTTTTCTCATTAACATTAGGTATAATGTCAAAGTAAGTAAATGCATTAAATTTAACAGGATTAGATGCTTTTAATTAATCACATTAGTGAACTTTGGCAGCCCTAATATTTACGTGACGTGCCTAAGCCCTTTCTGCTCCTCCTTAGATCTTGGCTCTCCAGGACCAGCTGGAGAAAGGCCCTAATGCTCAGCTGGCCCGTCTACAGCAGGAGAACTCTATCCTCAGAGATGCACTTAACCAAGCCACCAGTCAGACAGAGAGCAAGTATGAACCTACAGCTCCTGCCGGACCCAATCGTGTCTTGCTTGCTTAATTCATCTGTTTCACAATATGAGATTGCAACAGACTAACTAGCGTGACATATCAAATATAGTAACCACGCAGCCGTCAAAAGGTCTTCATGTGGGTTGTTGATAATTGCAGCTAGTTATGATGACAACTCAGAATACTCATATTTGTGCCATCTGTGCAAACTGCAAAATTTACTTTTTACTTACGTTTTAAATTTTATTTTAAACTTGCATATTCCTGATCTTTTCAACATGATTCATATATATATAATTTATTATTCATATTTTTTTTTTCTTACCAGCATGTCACATTCCTTCAAACTGCTGGCACCTTTCTGATACATAGTCAAGTCAAGTCAAGTCACCTTTATTTATATAGCGCTTTTAACAATACAGATTGTGTCAAAGCAACTGAACAGCATTAATTAGGAAAATAGAGTGTCAGTAATGCAAAATGACAATAGTAAACAAATTTTTCAGTTAAAGACAGTTCATCATTGAATTCAGTGATGTCAACATCCAGCTCAGTTTAAATAGTATCTTTGCAATCAAGTCAATGGTATCGCTGGAAATGAAGTGTCCCCATATACGTGGATGTTATGTATATGGACATAACATCCACTTTTCATGATCCAAACAATACCAGATTGAATTTCACTTGGAGATGTCAGATTACCATAGCATGTTGCAAATTATGTTTCATGTTGACTTTAATTCTACACTGTGGTGTCCAGAATAGTAATGATTTTTTTTCTCTATTTATTTATTTTTTTATCCATTAGACAAAATGCTGAATTGGCCAAACTGCGTCAGGACTGCATTCGACTGAATAAGGAACTAGTGGAGAAGAACGAGGCCTTGCAGGCTGATGAACAGTTCAGGAAAAATCTGGAATCTAAAGCTGCCACAGCTGAGAAACAACTGACCCAGTTGCAGGTCAGTTACCCACCTTTCTAAAACCATTCCTTGCACCACCGACGCCAATCATTCCTGTTGTTTCGTTTGCTGAGTTGTAGTTAGTTTTGTGATGCCTCTTTCATAAGAGTTCAAAATGCCACTCTAATTCTAATAAAACATCTCCCAGCATGAGCACCAGCCTCATTAGAGCTTTCTGCTACCTCTCGCGGGGCTGTTTAGCCTTGCACATCCGCAGGTCGGCAAGTTTAGTTTCTTGCAATCTGTGTGTGTATTTAAGAAGCTTGATTAGGCTTGCTGGTAAAGCTGAGGCTTTGACCCCCCAGTGCTAGTGCCTCTACTAATGGGATTGTTCACATGCTGGCAGAACATTTGATTGCCAGTTTGATTGCTCAGCAGTGCTCTGTGTGTTGGAATATGGCCTGCGCTACAGGGAAGCGCTTCTTCGAGCGATCTGGAATGTAAGCCTGCTTGAGCAGTACAGTTTCAGACAGAAGTATTTTATTATGCATACTGGAAACACAGATAAAACAGCTTTAGCATCTCTTCACTAATCCGCTGCTACAAACCATAAGACCACTGAATAAAATGCAGCCCTGTGTGTTGAAGTGTGTCCTGAGCCCATTTTAAGCATCTAGACAGTGTACTGGCTTAGGAGAGACATGGGTAATGTCTGGAGAGTGTGAGTCATTGATCTAAATAGAATTTTTTTGTGTAGAGTAACCTTATGAGAAACTTTATTTTTTTTTAAAGTTTTGATATAACCTCCGAGTAGCCGAACACAGAGCGAATCAATGTTCCTATATTACGTTAGAACCCAGTTAGAAATTTGTGTAAATAACTATTTGGACATACAGACAAACCTAAAAATAACCTAAAAATTATTCAGACACCATATATAATTTTTAATATTTTTTTACTAGTGGGTGCAGGACACTATAGTTAATTTATGCAAGTGAGTATAGCAAAATAAAGTAAATTGTGACATACCCAAAAATTCTTCATACAGTGGACTACCAGTAAAACTGATAAAAATTTGGGACCAAAAATTATTCAGACACTTTGATCTGACCATATTTTGCTTAAGTGTTATCGGACATTATCAAGATTAATTTGTTCTGACACAAATAACTCTGAGCTCTTGTCATATTTTATTACCATTTTCTAAACTGTAATAATGTGTGAAATGTTGAAGGCGTCTGAATAAATTTAGGTTTGACTGTAAAATAAATGTAATTTACATTGCCTCCCTCCAAAAAAGTAATTGAACACAAAACTGTTTGAATGTTGTTTATCATGTCAGAACATAAAATCGTGGTTACTGTTTTTAAGTTTTAGGTAGTTATGCTCCATAGTGACTTAGATTGCACATATGGTAGGTACATATTTTACATTTTATCAGTTCTTGGTTTTCCTAGGTATCGAACCCATGACCTTGGTGTTGTTAGCGTTGTACTCAACTGTTTGAGTTGTACGACCAAATCTGAACTGTGTTTTCTGTTTTCATGCTTTGTCCCCTGCAGGGGAACTGGGTGAGCAGTGAACAGGCTCTGCAGAAGCGTCTGGAGGACGTGAGTGAGGAGCTCAGACAGACCCAGAGCTCCAGAAACAGCCTTCAGACACAGCTTGAACAAGCTCAGAAAGATGCCACTGCTCTAGCAGGTCAGCAGCACCCACTTGGTTCTTAAGCAAGGAAGCAGACTGTAGAACCACAAGATGGATTCCATAAGATTCAGTCTGCTTTAAAAACATTTCTTTATAACTGAAAAATAGGTTAGATCAGAGCTGCAAATCCTGCAAGGTATAATGCTTGCCGTATCCATAATGTGTCCTTTAACAAAACGCTTAACATCAGATTTCTTGTGTACTATGTCGCTTTGGACAAAAGTATCAGCGAAATTATGAATTAGTAATTAGAAATAAGTGTTCTTTTCCTAACTGCACTGTTTCAGAGGCTCAAGATCGTGTGGCCAGTATGGAGGTGGAAATGATAGAGCAGACCAGACAGTTAGAGAGTCTGCAGAGCCAGCTGAAACTGCTGGAGGCGAGCCAGAACAAAGAACAAAACCACAATTCAGAGGTGACGCTCCACTTTCTATGTCCCAATACATATGTCTTTGTCACTGTATAATAAATTATAGTGATATTATATGTTATGTGTGTAACCTCATATAAATGTTTGTTACACTTTTTTACAGTGCCCTTGTTGCAGTGTAATTGTACATTTTACATACTGAGTATTATTAATTAATAACATGTACTTACTGTAGGGTTAAGATTAGGGTTTGGTTTAGTTAGTTGCATGTAATTATTTATAATTTACTGTTATTACTATAGCAAGTACATATAATGTTTGTTAACGTTACGTTAACATAACAAGGACACTGTAAAATGAAGTGTTACCAAAGTCTTAAAATGATTTGTAGTTAAGGTGTCAAATTGAATAAATGGGTTAAAGTTTGCTAAACATTATGTAATATATGGTTGAGCAGTAATTTCATAAGCATTTGCATGTTTAATATTTACAGGCTTTGATGGCTGAACTGGAGCAAGCAAAGAGCAGGTAAGATATAAGGCCATATTTGCTTGAGACGCAAAAATTGCATAAGATAATAAGACTTGTTTTCAGATGACAATGAAATGTTTATTTTTTCTTCAGTGACAAATCTTCTTGTGTTTGCACAGCAGTCACACAATTTTAGTACAGTTCAACCCCAATAAAAAACATGAATAGATTTTCATCAGCTTTACATCTAGCATTTGTTGAAAATGAATTCATATTGTTTGTTTAATCTCTAGCCTGAAGGAGAAAGAAGAGGAGCTGATCCAACTCAAAAACATCATTGCCACTCAGGTGAAGCCGAACATACTGCTTTTTAGACATTTTCAGCTCATCTTAGTATTTCATTAGTAAATTTGACTTTTAATGTGTTCCCTTATTTGAACCAATCACATGTCTTCCTCAGGTGGATAACACAACAGAGGTGCAGCAATTGCAGCACAGGTATTTTCTGCTGCTTCACTAATACAGTTCAGTAGTTCTTAGTTGATTTGAATCTGTTTATTGTATCTTTTCCTTTGAACTTAAGCATAAAAGAAAAGGATGACCAAATAGCAACTCTTCAGGGAGAGCTCCAACAGGTTAAAGAAAAAGGTTCAGAACTCACCAAAGTAAGTTTATCATATGCAAACCTTTACACCTCAATAATTCAATTTAGACTTAACCATTCATGCCATTTTTTAAAAATTATTTATAGCTTGAAAACACAGAAATGCTGGAACAGCTACAAAACAGGTATACATCATTTGTGATCCAGACAACAGCTTCAAATTCATGTTTTTTTCACATTCTTTTATTAAGATTTAATGCCGTCTGTTCTCTTTTTCCTGTTCCTGTAGTTTGAAAGAAAAGGAGTCTCGGGTGGCTTTGTTTGAAGAAGAGATGAGGCACTGTAAAGAACAGTATGACACTAAAGTAAGTGAGACTTTGCTGTAGGGCTGCACGATAAATCGCATGCGATATTTAACTCGCATCTTCATGCAATTTATCGTGCAGCCCTACTTTGCTGTTATTATTATATTAGTACTTTTGACTTTTAAAGCTAAAGTGTATCATTTGTTAGTTTAAAAAAATGCACCAATTTCTAATAATGCACTCTTCATTTACAGCTGGCAGATAGCACAGCCAAACTGGAGTCACTACATAAAAGGTACATATTCAGTCCAACTGAATGCCACTGCATGTTTATGTTCCTGTCAGCCACCCACATTAACACCATTTTGTGATAAGTGTCTTCTTCCACAAAAAACTAAGGTTTTTTTATAATGTTTTTCAGTGTAACTGAAAAAGAGAGCCTAGTGACATCACTACAACAGGAAGTGCAGCAGCTCAAGGATCTAAATCAGTCACATGGCAAGAGTTACGTAAGTAGCCAAGACTATTGTGGATGTGCTTGTCTTTATCTTGCATGTACACAGTGATTCATAAAAATATGCGTAGGCACACATCTTATCTCATCATGTCAGCTGGGTATATGGTCTTGCTGTATAAAGCAGATTGTTGCAGTGCCCTTTCATTTCTATTTCAGAAGTCTTGACTTTTAAATGACCATATAGGTTTTTCTGTGTAAAATGTTACCGGTACTACTGCTATTAAAAATGGTGACACAGATAAATGAAGTGTTAAGGGTCATCATTTTACTCAACAGTTTTAATTTTAATGAAACCTCAAATTATTTATGTTTCATATTATTTCACTATTTAAAATGTTCTTTTGGTTTAGACCGTATTTAGTTGTGCTAAGTGTCTCAGCTTTTACCCAAGACCGAAGATACAATTTTTTTTTGTTGAATTTCTGTGCATCGATTTGAATTTTTGTTGTTTGTAGAGGTTTTAATGTAAATATCATGTTCCGTTGTCACTGAGCATTTAATTTTGTTACAGGAAAGTTTGGAGGATATGCTTAAATCTGTCCAGGCTGAGACCAAAGAAGTTCTTCAGTCTCTTTTCCCACACATCAACATAGAGACAGCACAGGTGTCTAGGATTTCAGTTTTCTCATGCTTTTTATTTCTCAGTTTTGTTTTTGGATCCACTTGTAATATTGACTTGTTTTGGAAAAGTACCATTCAAAAGTTTGTTCTGCATTTATTTGATCAAAATGACAGTAAAAACAGTAATAATGTGAAATAGATTATTTAAAATAACTGTTTTCTATATTAATATTTTTAAAATTGAATGTATTCCTGTGATGGCAGTCTTCAGTGTGACATGGTCCTTCAGAAATGATTCTAATATGATGACTTTGGTGCTCAAATATTTTATTATTGCTATTATTATTAGTGTATATAAAAGTATTAATTTCTTTAAAACAAAAAGATCTTGGTGACCCCCAAACCTTTGAATGGTAATGTACTTGATGCAGTTCTATTCACATCCTTGATTTTTAGCTAATCTTGAGTCTCTCGTTCTCATCTTTCAGACCAACTGGCTTCAGGACTTTGCTGTGAAAGCACAAGAGGTGCTAAATCAAAAGCAACGGAGCCAAGAATCCCAGCAGAGCACAGAGAGGGTGGTAAGTGTGCTGCAGGTCATAGCCTTGTGCTATTATCATCTTAAAGTGGTTCTTTGTTGCCCCCCTAGAGGGAATGTAAGGCATATTTGTAGTTACTACAATGCTGTTTTTATTATTAGGAGATAATGGGGAAACTACAGGCAGCCCAGGAGAGTCAGTGCACACTACAGTCTGAGTGTGAGCAGTACAGGAGTGTACTGGCTGAGACGGTGAGATTATACACCAAGAATCTGTTTCAGCAAAGCCTTAATGAGAATTGGATCAAGCCGAATTTGTTTCCTGATGTTCTATAGGAGGGGATGCTGAAAACACTTCAGAAGAGTGTAGAGGAGGAGGAGAGGGTGTGGAGGACCCAGATAATGGCGTCTGAGGAGAAACTGAGGATGGTAGGTCAATACACTGTATTAACACACACACGCGTATAATTCTACAGACACAGTGTAAGCACAATAATTTAGAAAAAGAGTTTATGATGTTTCCTTTGATTATAGAAAATGCTATTTTTGGTTATAATTTTATTGAAGTTTTCATGGGCAAGCTGTGTTTATGGAAAATTTTCATAATGTTTCGGGGGAATTTGGTAGATCATTCCACCACCAAGGGGGACAGCGAGTGTGAAAGCTTCAGTCTGTCAGTTTATGTTTTTCATAGGCACTCAAAAAGGTGCAGGAATTAGAAGAGACAACAGAGAGCATGAGAGCGGACAACCTGAGGACCCAACAGGTATAGATTTCACCTGTGGAAATGAATTTTTGCACTGTATGACACTGTAGGAATACAAAAGATGAGTATTACAGAGTGCAAAAAAAGTATCAGGCTGTACCCTGAAAATGTCCTGTCTGTTTAAAATATCCAACACGTTCCTATACAAATAAAGGTGTGTGTTTGAATAGTTAATAATTAAATATTTCATATTAGGACTCAACTAATGCATTCTCATTCATTATTTATTTTACATTCAAATTACTTATCTCCAATGAGCAACATTTAACCATTTATATACAGGGTCCTCATGGGTCCTTAAATCATTATATGCCTTCAATCCAAATTTAAGGTCATCTTTATATCTTAAATGGTATAACAGATGTCCTAATATCACTTTAAGATGATAAAATCCTAAATTTGGGAACGGAAATAAAGGAATTGTGATGCAGCCTTTTAAATGTTATGTTATGATTTAATTAAATGTGAGTGCTTATGCTCTACTATTGATGATTGATGGCAGTATACTTTATGGTTTAAGGATGCATACTTACCTCCCTCATCTGTTTGGATGAGCAGCTGGAAGCCTAGACATTTCAAAATGGGCTTGTTTATATTTTAAAGTCCAACATTATTCATAAAATCTGTTTTTTTTTTTTCTTCTTATGATTGGTATTTTGGTAACAGAATTAACTATATCTGGCATTTAATTCAATGCAAACTCTTGTAGCTTCTCTCCTGGCCAACTTTTTTGACGGATTCAGTATATAGATTTTCCTAGTATTGTCACAATAATTTGTTTATTGTCTTTCTTTAAACACATCATTGTATTGGCAAAATTTAATATCACTAATTTTTATAATATATTGGTACATAAACTTCTATCAATACATATAGAATAAAACTTGTCTCGAGTATTTTAAATTTGTTACTCTGTTTTGCTTCTAAGCAGTTTTAAGTCCCTGTTGAATGTGTGTCCCAGCTTATTTAATTAAGTACAAGAGATAAATGATGGGGAAACAATACTGGGATACATGATTTATTTTGAGATTTCATCGGCTTGTTCTGTATGGACATACAGTATTGTATTTTATTTATATATTTAGTTATTTTTTGGACTTTAAAACCCTGCAGACATACTGGTTCATGCTACCTTAGTAGTAAGAAACCCAAGTGTATATACAGAAGTACATTTTAAGAGCACTCAGTATTCCTCATTCTCTAACCTGAAATTCTCATTCAGTCTGTATCCTTAATCTGTCCATTTTTTTCCCCGTGTGTAGCTGGAGGAGAACGTGATGTTGCTTGAGGCCCAGTTGGAGAAACGGCTCCAGTCAGCGTCCACTGACAGCCAGAGTCAATCTGAAGAGATAAAACACGTGAGCGCACACTCCTGCCTTAATGCTGATTCACTAAAGCACAATATGAGATACAAAAGCAAAACAAAGCCAACTTAGTCAGTCATTCAACGCATTTTATCTATTTTAAATAATGGTTTTGTCTTTGTGAAGAGGTTGATTGACAAGCATCGTTTAATATTAAGATCTGATGTGGTTGTGAGAAGATCTTGAGATCTAGCCCTGCTCTGCCACTTAACAGTTCATTTTGTTTGTTTTCAGTTGAAGCATGTTTTAGCAGAATCAGAAAGACAGTTGAGTGTGGCCCAGCAGGAGATACAGACGCAGAGGGAGGAGCTTTCACAGGTTGGTTTCCCTTGAAGTCCAAAGCATTTGCTAAAGGTTTACACCTATTATTCTTTGTTTACCCACAATCATGTGACAAACAGGAGGTTTTGCCAAGGAAAAAAACAGAAGTTGGTTTTGTTGAGTGACAGCTTCTATTTCCAGGTCGGGCAGCAACTGAGTGACGTGACAAAGCGAGCTCAGGGAGTGGCAGAGAACGGGCAGCCTGAGGCGGAGGAGGGTCAGGTTAGGGTGCGACATAGAAAGGCACCCTGCACCTCACTTGGCAGTATTAGATAGATTTTTCAGTACTAACTGTGGTTCGGTCTCAAAACCTAGCAATGCCTATATAAGACGTCTTCCAAAAATGGTTGACTGGAATACTGCCTATTTTACGTATTATGTTATGAGACACAGTCTGTATCAATCACCAAATATCCATAGAAATGTCAAATCATATTTATTTACATAGTGCTTTTCACTATACATATTGGGATGATTTTACCCTATACAAGAGGCTATATTATGGGCCATATGTATGTTTTTCTCCCTATCCAGTACTGCCAAAGTGGGGATGTTTTACTCATAATTCTAACCATTCATATTTCAGCATTTTGTTTCAGCAGCTTCTGTTAACCCAGGCGCCTGTTTTAACCTCAGAATATCTGCACTCTTGGGTTCTTTTTGTCACACTCACCTTTTTTAACCACTAACATTTGTCTTTTGCATTTGAAACTCATACTTCAATGAAGATCTTACAAATTTTTTTTTTGAGGATTTTATGCTTGTTTTCACTCTCATTTCCTGAATACATTGTGCACTAATGCAGCTCTTGTGTCAGCTGGCATGGAAAGGTTTTGCAGTAGTTCATGGATTAGCTACAATAACTTATCTACTTATGTGGTATTGTTGGTTTGGTCAGGTCCAGGCTCAGCTGGAACAGACATTGGAAAAACTGCAGAGTGAACGGACTCTAAACCAGCAGCTCTCTGCAGAAGTGGAGCAGGTACAGTGGTGTCCAAGACCTTGTGTTTCTTCTTGATTTCTAAAAACCTGTTAATCATTAAACTCATTATTCCATATTTTATAGACTCAGGAGGCCCTCAAAAAACAGCTTCAGAGCCATCTAGAGCAGATGAAGTCAGCTGAAGACACTGCAGCCATGGAGGATGTTGTTCAGCTGAAGGTACTTTGCACATCGAATAGCTGATAACCAGTATTGTGTGTGTGTGTGTGTTTTTTTTTTTCTGCTATTTTTTAAAAGTGTTCCATGCCATGTGGGACTGGATGAAAAAGGACAGGCAGTTAAAGCTGCTAAGAAATTACTTCAGCTGGGAATGACAGAATGTCAATTTGTCAAATACCAGCATGTGATGTTGGTACTGATTTATATATTTCTAAAAAGTAGTGAATGGATTGAATGTATCCATAGCAAATTATATGAATGAGTGAATAAAAGTATATTTTCCCAGGAGAAACTTTAAAAACGTCCATTAATGTACTTTGAGGAAAAACATTTCCTAGTACCAGTTTTACAGTCAAAGAAGACTTACAAAAAGCACATAAAGGCAATTCTTCTCCTTTCAAGAAATATACATGGATAAGCCTAAGTCCTGTGTGACCAGTTCTACATCTTGTAAATACAGTTTGGACATTTCTAGTTTTAAACTAAAACCAATGCATTTTAATTTATTTGGCCATGAAAATAGCCTTAGATGTTGACATAGCAATAAAAAATAAGCACTATTATGGCTTTGTCCATGCATTCTGGAAGAGCTTTATCTAAAATGTTTCTTGTTTAACTGTTAAAATTGGGTTTCTATGTAAATCCCTAATGCTCATGACTTGGTGTTTTAGGAGTGTCTAGAGAAGGAGCGAAAGATGACCAAAGATTTGGGCCAGGCAGCCACCAAACTCCAACAGCTGCTGAGAAACAGTCAGGACCAACTGGCCAAAGAGAAAGAGAACGTCAGGACGCTGCAGGATCAATTGCAAGACAAGGTAAAAACATTATACATATTTATAAATGTTTATAGGACGAATAGCTGCATGCCTATGTTAACGTTGTTTATGTTCTTGTTTTCCAGGAGGGTGATGGGGAGCTGAAGCAAGGCACTTCTGTTTGAGGTGTAAAACTAAAAACTTGCCAAAAATTGCCTTAAGATGACCAAAATGAAGCATTCCGAAATTAGTTTTCTTCCTTTTTTTTTTTTTTTTTTTGGCGTACTGTATTCTTGGGAGAAATTGTTTGAAGACTTTTGGGGAAATCTAACTCATGCAAACATTTTATTTCGGAGATGTGCTGGAACTATTTTCACTTTACATTCCATCTGAAACCTTCTGGCTATGTCAGAAAATATTCCTCAACTGCCTTATATATTCTTAGTGTTCCCGCACCTCTCCTCCTGATGTCAGTGTTAAAAGGGAAACCGCATGTACGTTGTGTACATCAACTAGTGCAATTAATTTCTTGTAAGTGAATGAGTATGCATAATTGTATGGTACATGGGTACAGCATTTGGAATGGCCTCTCTGTAGCTGGCTTCAACACCACTGTATTAAGTTTGATAATAAATAATAAATGGCAACCTAGCTTTATTTTACTGTCATGTTTCTTTTTTTTATTTTTTATTTTATTTTTTTTAAAGAAATGGTTCACCCAAAAATGAAAATTTGCTGTAAATTTACTCACCCTCAGGCCATCCAAGATGTAGATGAGTTTGTTTCTTCATCAGAACAGATTTGGAGAAATTTAGTATTATATCACTTGCTCACCAATTGATCCTCTGCACTGAATGTGTGTCGTACGAACGAGAGACCAAATAGCTGATATAAATCAATTTGTTGATTTAACTTTAAACCATTGCCTCTGGCCAAAATACCAGTCAATCCATAATAACGCTTTCTCCAGTAAAAAAGTTTAATTAACAGGATTTGTCCTGTCATTGTACTATATATGATGTTTGCTTGTTTTTTTACTAAAAAGTGGTTGTATTTGCTTAATAATGATCATTAATTGTAAATGGCTGAATATAAATTGTTCTCACTTGGTCAAATGACAAATATTGGTTCCAATGAAATACAAAGTTTATTAGCATAACTAAAAAATATTTCTTAATGGGTAACATTTTTCATTTTGACCAATAGACTGATAAGGGGGCTGTTGGGTCATTGGTCTAATTTTACACTTTTTTTCCCCCTCAAAAGACATTATTTTGTCCCTTAAACCAAGTTGCTCCACAAGACATGATACTTCTCTGTCTTGCAGCGTCTTGAATGTTCCACTCAAATTTCAAACCTATAGGGGAAAAGCACAGGTGGTGATCTTTAGTTTTCATTTTCTATAAAACTGCTTTGGAATAATGTGTACTGTAAGAAGCGCTTTACAAGTAAATTGAAATATTCATTATAACATTAAAGGGACCATAACCAACCTGACAATCTGGCCGTAAGAGCAGTCTTTAAGCTTGCATGCATCATTGTACTCTTTAAGGGGGCTAAGTCAGGGTAACTGTACAATAAAGAGACGAGCAAGATGGTGAAAATAAAAGTAGGAAAAAGTCCTATCCCAAGGGCTGCTTCTCACAGAATGCATTTTGTGTTCTACTATGCTGCTTTCTAATTGTTTTTCTATGAAAACATGCACTGGATGGACATCTTTGACCACTGTGTAAATTTTTTTTACTTTGGCTCACTTTTTTATTATGAGCCAATGTTATATCCATGTTAATTTCTGCTGAATGCTCAAATTCCCACCAATTAACTTCAAATGTCACCAATGAGCATGTATTGCCAAAGGAAGCATTGATTAGACTTCATAGGTATTTTTTCAGCCCATTCCTAGGAGACATTTTTGACAATCGATAAAGCCTAAATATGTCTACTTATTCTAAAAGGAGCTAAGTGAAAATGGCATGATTCACTTTTGAAATATTCTTAGCACAACCAAACAGTCACATGGAACACATGGAACAAGTTTAAACCTTTCACTCTTCTCAGTTCCCTTGTGGCACACACAGATTAAATTGTAGTGTTCTATCACCTCATCTCTGATGATTACACCTGAGGCCTGAGTGACACGGGAAAGAATAATGATAAAACATGCAGAAGTGATAACTATGCAATTGGACTGTTAAGTAAGATGGCATTTTCTTCCAGATGACTTTGAGGAAAACACAAAGGAGACCATAGTATGTACCTCATAAAATGATCTTTATTAGATTAGGCAGACACAGGACTACCACTAAACTATTTGTATTCATTTTTAATCTACATTCCATAGGTATTTCCCATTTTATGCTTTAGTTTAACCCCTTAGCATTCCTGCAAAATTTGCCTAAATATGCAGTGTTATGTGTAATTGTGTAATTATGTGTAATTGTATTCTCCTCAATCACAAAATAACATATTTAGTAGGTCACACAAGTAGTTCATAAGCATTACTCAGACCTTATGACACATGAACACTGTGATGTAAGGTGTGGCCCAATACTTTCTGTCCTGTCCAAATAATTCTCTACAAAAGCATTACAATAAAAAAATTGAAATATAGGAATAAAGGAAATAACATATAAACAGTAATGACTTTTCCGCCCAGTTTCACCTGGCTTATCTGTCAATAAGAATTTAGTATTATATTAAACTAAAAATTCAGTGGATACACTACCACCTTTTTTCTTCACTAGTTCATTCAGATTAGTTCGCCTAAATCGGGGATGGGCAACTTTGTTTCTGGAGGGCCACTGTCCTGCAGAGTTTAGCTCCAACCCTAATCAAACACACCTGAACAAGCTAATCAATTTATTCATGATCACTAGAAAGCCACTGGCATTGTGTTTGATTAGGGTTGGAGCTAAACTCTGCAGGACAGTGGCCCTAAAAGGACCGAAGTTACCCATCCCTGGCATGCATGAATGAATGAATGAAGTTTCTTAATCAATAAGAGCATGAGGCCAAAAAAATCTCATGCAAGAATTAGCATAAAGATGTTTCAAATAAATAGAGTTTAGCATGACACACTGTAGCACATGTACATAATGCAAGTAACTGCATTGCATGAACACGAGCCAGTTTTTACAAAATGGTTGAACAGCATGCAAAATGTACACTGAAAGAAAACTGTACAAGTCTGAGGACTTACCATGGCTGGCACTTGCTCTGAGATGGAAGAGAGAAGTATGTTGTTGCACCGAACAGTACAGAAGCGTATCAAGAGCGCGGGGATCTGAACACACCCTTATGAGAAGCCTTTCCGGAAATAATTGTGTTGAAAGTATGGCTTCCTTATTTTAATTGTGTTTGATTATGTTATAACAATTTTCAGTAACAATATTTCATATTACAGTAAAGTGTAGTAGCTTTTTAAGTTTTAAGTGGCCCTCCAGGAGCAGGACTGAGAACCCTGACATTAGCTCTTCACATTAATTGAATGTGATTTATCCACACCTGTACATCTTAAAATAAGCTCATGACAAATAAAAGTTCCAGCTGGATGCATAAAATTAAATGCATAAAACAGTGTGAATAAACAATATCTTAACCCTCTGTGCCTCTTTGGTCATTTTTGACCAAACAATTTTATATTTAGAAATTTCTAAAATCGTAGCTTCATCGGAATGAGATGACACTTGGTGACTTTTGTTGCATTAGCTATGTGAACACACACAAAATGTTAAAGGGTCAAAAAAAAAAAATTTAGCTCCAAAAATGACCAACATAGGAAATGAATGGGAAATACAAAAAAATACAACTCAGAGAATCTTTTGGTGGTACAAACTACAAATCAGCCACTGTGCAAAAAAAGTGCACAGCAATCAAGGGGTGGCACTCTAAAATATAAAGAGTGCCAAATAGACACCCACGCATGCACATACACATACAATGTTTGATTGTAATCATAATGCAAAACCTGATATTTATCTAACCAAAAATATCTAAACCTTGACAAAAAGTAGTCTTTTAGAATGTTTAAATATATATCTAAAAGCAAAACCTAATAAAATGAAGAAATTATGTCTAAAAAAACAATGGGAATCCATTTATTGAAAAATAATAATTAAATAATATATTAATTATTGTGGGGAAAAATAGCTAATTAAAATTGTATAAATATTGCATAATATCTTAAAATCCCCTCAAAATTCTAAATAATAATAAAAAAATATTATTGAACAAACATGTATTAAATTGATTTTCCTGAAAAAAAAAAAAGAGGAAGTTACATTTCAAGTCTTTGGTCACTTTTGACCACGAAGGAGCCAAATGTGACTCCCAAACGAAGAGGATCAGGGGGTTAAAATAATTATTTCCTGAATGGCTTCCCATACACCCTTTCAAAACAGATCAGTCCTGAATGACCACTCTCTACCTGCTGCCCACAAGTGCAAACAAAGTGTAATTACAGGATGATTGTGTTGTGATATATCCTGTTGTCCCCCGAATTGTTAGTGATAAGGAAGCCAGATAAAAGTGATGGTTTATGGCACTTGAAAACGCTCAGGTGAGTCAGACGCAGTTTGAAGTTGGAAACTAAACAAAACACCCTTATAAAGAATACAGAATCTGACAAAACCCCTTATTTGGTGAGAGGGGCAAAGATATTACATTAACATGAATGGGAGGATCCAGGTGTAAAAATGATCGACACATGACGTATAATCATGATGATTAATGTAGACTAGCAAATTAATTTATAATGTTATTAATGTTTCATGTTAATGATCAGCCTAAGTCTTCAACTGCTCAATTACTCATAATGTGATTCTTTAGGCCCATTTCAGATTTGCGTGTACAAGTAAAGAGAATATATATATATATATATATATATATATATATATATACACACACACACACATACATATATATATATATATATATATATACACACACACACACATACATATATATATATATATATATATATACACACACACACACA